GGGGAGGGTGGCTGGGCCTGTGAGCCCATGAGGGGGTGCTAGGCCTCGGGGCGGGGGAAAGCGGAAGGGGGCCCGGGGAAGGGCGATGTGTGCAGGCGCCAGCACTGCCTGACTGCTCTGCTGCCCCCTCAGTGTGGGCGTCTTCAAGAACGGCCGTGTGGAAATCATAGCCAACGACCAGGGGAACCGCATCACGCCGTCCTACGTGGCGTTCACGCCCGAGGGGGAGCGCTTGATCGGAGACGCCGCCAAGAACCAGCTCACGTCCAACCCTGAGAACACCGTGTTTGATGCCAAGCGGCTCATCGGCCGCACCTGGAATGACCCTTCTGTACAGCAGGACATCAAGTACCTGCCCTTCAAGGTGGGCCCCGAATGTGGAGGGGAGCATGGCGGGAGGGGGCCAGACATCTTTGTTCATAAGAGGCCACTGGATCATGGTGCCCTTTTGAGCAGCCCTGAAGGGTTCGGGTGCAGTGGTGGCTGTGGTGTGGAGAGAACAGTTCCTTGCCTTAGCTAGCGTTTGAGTTATGTCTGTTACAGAGGCTTTGCTTGATCTTCAGAGAGAAAGAAACACTCTGACAAGTTGAGTGAATTGTCTAACTGGATAAGTGTCTATTGTTCTTTACAGGTTGTTGAAAAGAAAGCCAAGCCCCATATTCAAGTCGATGTTGGAGGTGGACAGACAAAAACATTTGCTCCTGAAGAAATTTCTGCAATGGTTCTGACAAAGATGAAGGAAACTGCAGAGGCTTACTTGGGGAAGAAAGTGAGTTCATGAGTGCTGCTAGCAAGCACCTAAAGCAGCGGCTGTACAAAACTGAAGAGGGGTGGGCTGGGTCTGTGGGCTAACCTTGCAGTCCTGAAGTCGGTTCAGTGCTGCTGGCCCCTTGGGCAGCCCAGTGGAATGGGCTCAGCTGATGGTGGGGTTTTACTTCTCTTTAAAGAACAATGGGGTGCTTGTTCCCAGCGTGGCCGTGGCTGTTTACCAGCTACGTGCTTCTCTTGTGTCTATAACAGAATTGTCTATCTCCTGCTCCTTTTTCAGGTGACCCACGCTGTGGTTACTGTGCCAGCCTACTTCAACGATGCTCAGCGTCAGGCTACAAAAGACGCTGGTACCATCGCTGGGTTGAATGTGATGAGAATTATTAATGAGCCGTAAGTAGCCTAACCTGTCCTTCCTGCGGGGGAGGTGGGGGTGGGGGTGATCCCAGTCTTCTGAACGGCCTGTTCCCCCTACAGAACGGCTGCTGCCATTGCTTACGGGTTGGACAAGAGAGAGGGTGAGAAGAACATCCTCGTGTTTGACTTGGGTGGTGGAACTTTTGATGTCTCCCTCCTCACAATTGACAATGGAGTCTTTGAAGTTGTGGCTACTAATGGCGACACTCACCTGGGTGGAGAAGACTTTGACCAGCGTGTTATGGAGCACTTCATCAAGCTATACAAGAAGAAAACTGGGAAGGATGTCAGGAAGGATAACAGAGCTGTGCAGAAGTTAAGGCGGGAAGTGGAGAAAGCAAAGCGAGCCTTGTCATCTCAGCACCAGGCTAGAATTGAAATCGAATCCTTCTTTGAAGGGGAGGATTTCTCTGAGACGCTGACTCGAGCCAAGTTTGAGGAGCTCAACATGGTAAGTTTAGAAAGGTGAAGTGGCATTGCCTCAGCTCTAGATTGGGCGCTTGGGAACGTGCAGTATTTCATGCCGTGACACCGTGCTTTGGGGTATAAATAACTTCTGCTTGCACTGAAAAGCAGGTGGCTGCGCCTGGCCGGGGTAGCTGGGGCTGTGTGTGCCTTGGTGACAGCTGAGGCCTCACCATGGCTGGTCATAGGCCAGCTGATGTTCCCGCTCCATAGTGGTTGTCCTCTGTACCCTAAGGCCGTGTAACTCACAGGCCAGGCGTGTGGGAAGACAGCCTTACAGTCCTGGGCTTTTTACGTCTTGTAGGACCTGTTCCGTTCCACTATGAAGCCTGTTCAGAAAGTTCTGGAAGATTCTGACCTGAAAAAGTCTGACATCGATGAGATTGTTCTTGTTGGTGGCTCTACTCGCATCCCCAAAATACAGCAGCTAGTTAAAGAGTTCTTCAATGGGAAAGAGCCTTCTCGTGGCATTAACCCAGACGAGGCTGTAGCCTATGGTGCGGCTGTCCAGGCTGGCGTTCTCTCTGGGGACCAAGACACAGGTAATGTCACCTTCACCGTCGCTTCAAGAGAGCGTTGACTCGGAGTAGTGGGTATTAGTTACTGACAAATGTAGAATTTCTTCTCCAGTCCTTAAGAAGTTTTGTGCCTTTGAGACCTCGGGATCCTGTTTGCAGTGAGGAGAGGTGTTTGTTTCGGGTTGAAGTCCTGTCAGTCTTACCCTTGGTCTGTTACAGGTGACTTGGTGCTGCTTGATGTCTGTCCTCTGACCCTTGGCATTGAGACCGTCGGAGGTGTCATGACTAAACTGATCCCAAGAAATACTGTTGTTCCCACAAAGAAGTCTCAGATCTTCTCCACAGCTTCCGACAATCAGCCAACGGTGACAATCAAGGTCTATGAAGGTAAGTGTCACATGGGCCACCACAGGTCTGTAGGGCTCTTAATACTTGCTACTGTCTTACCACAAGGGCTATGGATGCTTTTGGATGGTTACGGAGATCTCCTGATGGGAGAGGAGCTTGGTAGCAGTGCCAGCTCTCTGAAGCAGCTCTGATAAGGCTTCTTGACCTGCATCAAGCTGTTATTAGATTATTTTTTCAAATGTGTTTTTGTCCGCGTTTCTGTTCTGAAGAGCTCTTCAGGGCAGGAGGTGATCCTGTAGGAGGTATCTAGACAGACGTTGGGTTGGAATGGGAACCTTCAGCAGTGTGTAGCTCGGGCTTCACCAAGTACAGACCTCAGCTAGGAAAGAAAGAAACCATGTCTGGCCGTGTCTTCTAGGTGAGCGTCCCCTCACCAAGGATAATCATCTTCTGGGAACTTTTGATCTCACCGGCATCCCTCCTGCGCCTCGTGGAGTCCCCCAGATCGAAGTTACCTTTGAAATCGATGTGAACGGAATCCTCCGTGTCACTGCTGAGGACAAGGGCACGGGGAACAAGAACAAGATCACAATTACAAATGATCAGAACCGGCTGACGCCGGAGGAGATAGAGAGGATGGTTAATGATGCCGAGAAGTTCGCGGAGGAAGACAAGAAGCTTAAAGAGCGCATCGATGCCCGCAATGAGCTGGAAAGCTACGCCTATTCTCTCAAGAACCAGATTGGGGACAAGGAGAAGCTGGGCGGCAAGCTGTCGTCTGAAGACAAAGAAACAATAGAGAAAGCGGTAGAGGAGAAGATTGAGTGGCTCGAAAGCCATCAGGACGCCGACATTGAAGACTTCAAAGCGAAAAAGAAGGAGCTGGAGGAAGTGGTTCAGCCGATTGTCAGCAAGCTCTATGGAAGCGCGGGCCCTCCCCCTGGGGAAGAGGAAGCGGCAGAGAAGGACGAGTTGTAGATACTGGCATCTGCGAATGTTGTGTGTGTATATATTGGACTCAGGAACACTTGTTTAAAATATTGAACTCTTAATTTGGAATGTAACTCTGAATCTTCACTCGAGAGTGGAGCTGGAAACGCTAGCCCGAAGTGGCTGTATACTGCTTTTCGTTAGCAGGCGCTCGGTGTGGGGAGGGACGGGCCGCGGGGGCGTGTAAATGCGAAATGGGTTGGGAGGTGGCGGCGGCAGCATTCTATTTAACAGCTTGGTCATGTGCATTTGGTGTAGAGCTTTTCTACCTGAAGTGACCACAATAAATTTGTTATTTACACTGGACTTTGCTCTAGCTCCTGTTTTCCCTTCCCTGGTTACAGCAGCTGGCTCTAACCGGGATGTGGATGATGCCTGAAGGATGGGATTCGGACAGCCATGGGTAACCCTTCGGGGGTCACACGCTGACTGTGGGGTCCCTGCAGCTTGTGCTTCTCTCTGCTGTGGGGCTACTGCACAGGGACCTTGACCTCAGGTGGTTCCACCCCTCTCCTGGGCTCGGGCAGCCTGTGGAGGGTTGCAAACAGCTCCAGGGTTTTGGCACCTCCTGCCTCCAGTGGAACTGGCACCCTGGACCAGAGCCACCCCCTGGTTCTGAGGTGTGCTGGTGCCCTTGGGGCTGTAGGAGGCTTGGGGTGCAACAGGCCCTCCCAAGGAAGGGGGATGGTCAGCCTGGGTAACTGCTGAGGGGGGTCTGGCTTGTGCAGCTTCCCTGGAGCTGGGAGAGGTGATAACTGGGCTGTGCTGGTGAACTCTGTGACATGTGAGGGAGAGGGGACAACTGCAAAAGGAATCTCCTCAGGGTTCAAGCTATTCCTAGGAGCTCAGTCTCACATGAGGCAATGGACTAGTTTTCTGAAAACCTGTCTCTGCCTAATAAATGTTGTTCTTAAAAACACAAGTTCTGTTTAGGCTTTTGTCTTATTTAACTGTGAGCCTTTCCTGGCCCAGGGGATGAGATCAGAAACTGCACTGGATACAGAAGGTGCTTGTGTGGAGCCTGCTCTAACACCTCAAAACAACTCAGCACTTCCCCTTTTCCCTGGGGGGGATGGCTTTTTTTTCTGGTTTTTGTTCATTTTCAAAACTGTGAAAGCTAAACCACAAATCATCTCCCCAAAACCTTTGTTTCCAGGTGACACTGTGGCTTGGCAGACAGAAGTGTTCCCGCACACAACAGCGTGGGAGTGGCTTGCGCTGGAAAGGGCCCAGGCAGCACAAACGCTGGCTCTGTCACTGCAGCGACCTGTGCTCAAGTGACGGCGGCTGAGGCTGTTCCACACCTGCTGCCAGCAGCACCATGCACAGAGAAGGTGTCCCCACCTCGGGCACATTAGCACAGCGCCATCTGTTTGAGGGTAAGAATTTCTTTATTGGAAAGAATTAACTTAATCCCCCGGTGCTGCAGGAACAGCGTGGAGAAGGCTGGTGCTGCCGGACCGCAGCTCTGCTACTCGATCAGGCTGACGAGGCAGTCCCTGAACATCTCCCCCTGCGTGTCCATCCCACCAAATACCAACAGCAGATGCACGACTGCAGTTGCAGCACAGCACCCCTCCTCCTCTTGGACCTCCTGGAGGGGGCCAGCTTTGTCACCCGCTGATGCAGCTGATGCTTCCCCAGCTTCCTCCTCCCCGGCGGCGGCAGCCCCTGCGCTCGCGGCAGCCACCCAGGGGATGACGCACATGGCATGGTCCAGCCTCCCCGCGGGCAGAGGGGAATCAAACTGCAGGAGCGTCCACTGCTGTTTCTCTGCAGTGCAAAGACACAGTCACTCATCTCTAAAGGCAGCTTCGGGCTTGGAAAGCACGTGGGGACAGGGACGTCACTCATGAGATGGGTTCTCAACGTCACAGAGCGTCCAGTTTGTACTGGTGGAACTCCAGCACAACGGCACTACCGGAGGGTGGAGCGCAGGAGCTGAGGGGGCAATGCATTGTCCCAGAGCCCGGCCCTTACCCTCCCGGAGCTCAGAGATGTGTCCCTACCTGTGTGATACTTGTACATAGTGTCTAGTGCCCCGCCTGGTCCTATTCCACCAAAAATGTACAAGTGGTCTCTAAAGGCAGCAGAGGAGTGGGATGCCCGTCCTCCCGGGATGTCACCGGTGGCTGCTATCTTGACCCACCTCAGGTCAGCTGGTGGACAAAAAGAACATGTCTATGGTTATGCATTATAGAAACCCCACAAGTTTTGCTGTTTTAAGCAAATAAGGTAACATTTTAACAACTGATCTTCTAGGAAAAAAAAGGTCCCCTGCAAGCTTTCCACTGCAAGGAACTCAGGTACTGTTGTGTACAGGAACACTTGTGTCTGCAAAGCCACAGTGTCACCCGCAAACAAATCAAAACGTCACAACAGCTACTGCTCTGCGGTACCGCTATCCATACTTACTTGTATCGATGCAGAACAGATCATTGTAAAAAACATCCCCAGCTAAACCTCCGTGGATGAAGAGTTTGGTCCCAACTGCGACCACAACGTGTCCATGCCGAGGAGAGGGGGGATCGCCACGAGTGTCTGGCTGGGACCAGGTCAATGTGGCTAAAAACGGGAGTACGCCTGCGTTAGGCAGAAACCTCCAGAAGCTCCACAAACCGGTGACCCCAGAGCCCTGCTGAGGCTTCCCAAGGAGCGCCTCCAGCGGGGTCAGGGAACAGTTAATGCCGCATCACAAAGCGCAGGGAAGCCCTCTCATGGAGCTGTGTGCTGTCTGGGCCACCCAGCAGCAGGAAGGACCAATTCCAACTGGAAAGCAAACCCTTTCTGGCGCGCGCAGGGCTGCAAGGACAAAGGGGACAACTTTGACAGCAGCGCAGGACGATGGCGCTACGGAAAGGAACCAGCTGTTGGGCAAATGTGACAAACTGCTCCCGCCTCCCACAGCGCTCCTTGTGCCAGAGCTTTGCGCTGCCGTCTCGGCCCGAATGCCCAGTGACGGCAGATCCGTGCCTGTCAGCAGCCAGGAACACCCGCCCAACCGTGTGCACTCGTAGCCAAAGCAGAGGCCCAACATTTCCACATCTGGGACTGAATCTGAAGTGCAGCCTCCTGTGCAGATTCCCCCATTTGGCATAACGGCCCCTCACCGCCCAGGGGTACCTGTGTCAAACACGTGAAGCTGCTGGTCTTTAACTGGTTCTGCTCCTTTATGTCCCCCTCCAAACACGTACAGGCAGTCTCCAACAGCTGCTGAGGAGCTGTGAAACGTCCTAGGCAGCGGCGGCACACCGCTGACTTCAGGACTCTCCCAGGTTCCTATTTCTAATTAAGACATTTCATTAACAATGCAACCAACGCGGGAACAGCAAACGTGCTCCAATCCCACTAACAGCCACCGTGAAGGAGCCCGGCA